GCTCTTGCAGCTAGGTCAAAGACTGCACTGGCAAGTACACTTTTGCGCAGTCGCGATCTCGCGGCCCCGCATCACGTGCGGGTATCTGATGACGTAGAGTGATTCAAGATGGCCTCCGACGTGTTTCCCGTTTTGTGATCCCAAATACCAGCCCTGACTTTGTGCACATGGCGGGTTGAAATCTGACCCGGGTCGAACTCAACCCGGGTTGAAACGCTTCATGTAAACACAGCCTAAGTAAGCAACCCCACTGCCAACACTTGAATGATAACTGCAGTAAATTGTTCTTTAAGTCGTACATTTTGCCTATATTTGACTATTGCGATATAGCTTGGTGCGGGTTGTCTCAGACTTTACTCCACAGACTGGAGGTACATCAACGCTTGCTTCTGAAAATTCTGTTTCGAAAAGACCAAACATTTGCCTCCCTTTGTCTTTATAAACTTGCTTCCACGCACCCTCTTCTTGCCCGACATCAGCAGCATCTTTGTATCCTTGTGCAAAAAATCTTCCTAGCCCAAGTCCCGAAACATATTGCCAAGTACAACTGGTTTGTTACCACTAGACCAACACGCAATGCCTTATCACTGCCCCGAGCTAGTTCCTCTCTGTTTTTGAAATCCCCTTTCTTCTCAGCATACTCCCTTTGGTCTAACCTGCCTACTAGCATTAAGACATGCCAGGATATCAGGAAATTCACAGTCCAGCTTTCCACACTGTCTCATCCGAAGTGATCCCATGTATTATTAATGTGCCTCCCTTTCTTTTTCTCTCCCTATCTCCTTTCCCTCTCTGACAGCATCTTTCTTTTTTTCCCTTTTAAGTTTTAGCTTGCCGTGGTTGGCTATCACCTGACCTCTCATGTTTATTGGCAGTCTTCGGACGGGCCAGGAGATGTTGAATAAATAAATAAATAAATAAATAAATAAGTAAGCGTAACAGTAACTGTTACTTGAGAATGGTAGATCTAATAATTTATAAAAATTAATATTAATGATCGCTTCTGACTGAAGTAGTTAGTACTACTAGTGTCACTTGGTTATGGCTGGTTGTCATGGAGCTCGTGTCGTGAAGGCTTGACGCACGTCTCCTGCAGGAGCTGCACTCGGAGTCGTCCTGTTTCAATGACTATGTGTTTGACATCTCTATCGCTAGCGCTATAGCGCTGTCTGATCCAACATGATCAAGAAGTTAGTGCGCTCTTATCTCTCGTCTACGAGACTCTCGTAGATCTACTCCAGTGTTGAAAATATAATGCAAATGCACGTGCGGATTGTCGTTTTCAAATGAACTCTAATCTGCCTGGTGCCAGTGCATGCTGCGTCTGTCACCCGCCTGGTACATAACAGTCTTTCATTGAAAACTATTTTGAGTCGTTCTTTATTTCGTTCAGAGTTTCTGAAGCTCGTTGTACGATGATTTGTAACTCGTACTCCGCGCTAGCGCTCTATCATAGTACCAGGGGATGACTTAGCGGCAACGCTGCTTCCGAAATCGAAGGAACAGTAATTTTGCGGCGAAACGGTACGAGTACACACAGCTAGCTGGTGAAGGACACAAACTGAGATGTGAGTGTTAGTGTTATTGCCAATATTGGTGCGGTAGGTGGACACCCGATAGCAGCGCCTGGTGCATGTGGTAGCTGTGATCCTCGGTCAACGGATCAAGCAGAGCACTCAGCCGACACGAGTATCCAGTCACCGAGTGCGTGTGTGTGTGTGTGTGTGTGTGTGTGTGTGTATGTGTGTGTGTGAAGAATCACCGCGGATCTCACCCGTCGCGCATGTAGCGGGAGTGCGGTGTGCATACCAAGGTGGTTGAGCCACGACGCTTCCTCTTGTCAGTTGAGGCTGAGCGGCGACACGAGATGGAGGTAGGTTGTGCCCCCCCCCCCCCGTGTGGGCGAGGGCTCGCAAATACTGTAAATATACACATTTTCGGCAGCTATTTAATTTCGGCTATATTCGGCACCGACCCAAAACGCCTAAATTAAAACGCCGATGAAATTTTTCACAGCATCTGTCGCAATACCATGCCCTCTACCCCACGCCGAAAATAAATCGCCGCCGAAATGTCAAAAATCGTGAAGTGCCGAAATTTTGCAGCGCCGAAATTTTGTATATTTACAGTAGGCGTACCAGAACGATCACCAGTAACCATGGTAACCATGGTAACTGATTAGCAACCAGCTGCACTGTACCTGTAACTGATTAGCATACATGTAACTATGGAAATATTAAAACATGGTTTAGTACTGGTAGGTCTCTTCAGTCTTCATTATGTACAGTCAACTTTGCTAAGAACGACTGCGGATGTAGCGACAATTCGCAAACAACGACAGAATTTTCATGCCCAGAGCAAAGTCCCATCTAACTGTAACACATACATGTACATACATACATACATACATGTATAATGGGACTTCGGGTATAACGACACTTCTCATCGATGCCCCGCTGAGTGTCGTTATACGCAAAGTTGACTGTATGCTCAAGCCGTTACTGTGGTTACCAAACGATCCAAAGACAAAGTTACATGTCGTAACCTCGTATAGAGGCTATGCGATTACACCATCAGTTGAGATTAGGGCTCAAACGGTCACGGTTTTACCCCTAACGGTTAACTGCTAAGCTAACGGTCGGTTTACCGGTTATAACCTATAAGCCACGGCAATCCTGCGGACTCTTTTTTACCCGTATATTTGACTATACTCATTCAAAAAATGTACCCTATTCAGTACAACGCACACATGTACATTCTCTTGCGTGCTCATTCATACATACTCTCACACCAAGAGACCAGATATGACCGAGTTGACAGCCCAGAAATTGCGCACGCGTGCGACAGCCTGCGAAAGTGCATACTTTGCAACGACCTGATACTTGAAAAATTGACTGAAAAGTTACTGCGTAACCGCTATCTTTATCGGTTAACCGTTAATTCTTCGTAACCGGTCTGCAACCGGTTACGAAGAATACTGTAAAGCGACAAACTTTCGCGGCGCGCAAATTTAGCGTTTTCATAAATTCGGCTGGTTTACGATGAGAAACTTTTGCGATTCTATCTTTTCAGTCAGATCTTGTACTGTCTACAATCAATGTACGGAGGGGTTTGCGGCGTTTTATATTCGCGAATGTGTGATGGTCGCGAAAATAGCGAAATTTAATCTCTAGCGAAAGTTTCTCACTTTACAGTAACCGTTTGAGCCCTAGTTGAGATGCTTTCGCGTAGTCGCGGATTCGCGGCATGGCGCTGCACTTGCACCAGCGACTCACGCTGCATACATAGTGAAGATTAGAAAATCCGCCGACTCACCCGTCTACTTGGCGCCCATTAGAAAACCCGCTATGAAATCATTCGCATAACCTCTCCACATCGCTACAGGGAGTTGTAGCGTCTGCGTGGGAAGACGACAAGGGGTTTCTGTGTGTATCGCTACATCATGTGTGTTTCGACCCCGCACTGCCCGTTACATTCAGCCTTGAGCCAGGGCCGATTCATGCACGCTGGCATGCGACATCGCTTGTCTAGGCGGCGCTTGGGGTCAGCAGGTCAGGATTGCGGTCACGACCCGTTTTCCTCGGCGTCCAAGATTTCTCGAGTCCCTGTGGTGAACTGCGTGTACCTTTCACTCCGCACTATCCCCAGTGTCCGCCGGAACCGGTCCGGTTGGTCAAATCATCACCAGACCAACATGTAGGCAACTCACGCATGTGATGTTTCCTGGTGAAGGGGTTGTATGTAACCACTATCGGATCATACACAAACTGTATGAAAGTCATGTGACTACCCTCCATATCATACACAAACTGTATGAAAGTCATGTGACTACCCTCCATATCATACACAAACTGTATGAAAGTCATGTGTATACCCTCCATATCATACACAAACTGTATGAAAGTCATGTGACTACCCTCCATATCATACACAAACTGTATGAAAGTCATGTGACTACCCTCCATATCATACACAAACTGTATGAAAGTCATGTGTATACCCTCCATATCATACACAAACTGTATGAAAGTCATGTGACTACCCTCCATATCATACACAAACTGTATGAAAGTCATGTGTATACCCTCCATATCATACACAAACTGTATGAAAGTCATGTGACTACCCTCCATATCATACACAAACTGTATGAAAGTCATGTGTATACCCTCCATATCATACACAAACTGGAAAGTCATGTGACTACCCTCCATATCATACACAAACTGTATGAAAGTCATGTGACTACCCTCCATATCATACACAAACTGTATGAAAGTCATGTGTATACCCTCCACATCATACACAAACTGTATGAAAGTCATGTGACTACCCTCCATATCATACACAAACTGTATGAAAGTCATGTGTATACCCTCCATATCATACACAAACTGTATGAAAGGCTAAGGTATGGCCGCACCAATCAAAACCTTCTTCCGGCGGTCCTGATTCCCGTATCCCTTTCCCTTCGCTGTCCATCATCTCCTACATCTCCTCCGTCTCCCTCTTTTCCGTTCTGGCATGTGATGAGAGCAATAATTATTGTCACCCCCCCCCCCCCCCCCCCCCCTGGTCAGGTATTTGGGGCGGAGATGTAGAGACGCAGGGATGCGAAGAGGCACTACGGGTAGGATTTCACCAAACACAGCATACTGGTGATGCGTGCACTGTGTGTATGCGGTGGTGACTCAACTGCATAATGCTGTAAGTCTAAACAATAATAAGAGGACGAAACAAGTGTTTATACTCCGAGTTTCACGCACTAAGCGATCATCAGAAAACTAGCTCTGCCTCTCAGTATTGAGCACTCTCTTGGACAGCCTTGAACCTCTCTTGGACAGCCTTGAACCTCTCTTGGACAGCCTTGAACCTCTCTTGGACAGCCTTGAACCTCTCTTGGACAGCCTTGAACCTCTCTTGGACAGCCTTGAACCTCTCTTGGACAGCCTTGAACCTCTCTTGGACAGCCTTGAACCTCTCTTGGACAGCCTTGAACCTCTCTTGGACAGCCTTGAACCTCTCTTGGACAGCCTTGAACCTCTCTTGGACAGCCTTGAACCTCTCTTGGACAGCCTTGAACCTCTCTTGGACAGCCTTGAACCTCTCTTGGACAGCTTTGAACCTCTCTTGGACAGCCTTGAACCTCTCTTGGACAGCCTTGAACCTCTCTTGGACAGCCTTGAACCTCTCTTGGACAGCCTTGAACCTCTCTTGGACAGCCTTGAACCTCTCTTGGACAGCCTTGAACCTCTCTTGGACAGCCTTGAACCTCTCTGTTATTCTGTAAGTCTACACAATTTTCGGCCCATTCAGATTTCGGCCTCCCAGGGCTAAAACCCATTTCGTCCGCATCAAATTTTCGGCCTGTACTGCTGCCGCCTGTATTTGCTGTCACACTGAACCTTGTGAAACAAAATTTCGGCCGCCGCAAATTTTCGGCCAACATGACCAGGCCGAAAATAGCCGAAAATAAATCAATATGCTCGGAATATTTGTTGCCTTACAGTAGACAGCCTGTGGTACAAATACAAATACTGTCGTGGACATTGAACTCCGATGGGATGACCGGGGCCGGCGCCCGTACTCTACGTCAGTCTTCTCTCTACCTGCAGTACCGTCGGCTGCTGAAGAACGAACAGGCTAGAATTTCACCAAGCACAGCACACCAATGTATACACGGTTACTCAACTGTGCATAGACTCTAGCACGTAACATGAGAACGACCTAGGCTACGAGGCTGACCCCCCCCCCCCTCTCCCCCCAATCCCACCATCCCCAGTTCTTCAGTACCCGACAGTAACGATACATACTGTACTCATTCCCTGCTTCTGTTCCCTGTCCCGGCACACTCTGCAGTGGTCAACGCACACGCACGCGCTCCTGTCGCGCAAGCTGACGCGGTCCAAGCTGAGTATACAGCAGCTCCACGAGCAGCGCGATCAACTGCGGTGAGTCACAATGCTTTGCCGTGTGCTGCGTCTTCTGCACATTCCGTGTTTGTTCGTGTCATCGAACTTTTCCAGCAGAGTATACCGTATTTTCCGGATCATAAGTCATACTCGATTATAAGTTGCTCCCCCATTTTCAGGTTTCAGCAATATTGTTTCGACAGGATCACTTCAGTAGTAAGTCATGCTCGATTGTAAGTCGCACCCCCTTTCTCACCCTTGAATATTTGTGTAAAAAGGTGCGATTTATGTTCGGGGAAATCCGGTGGTAAAACCTATCAAGGCGACCACTCGGATAAGGTGGCCCACCTGACCTAGAAGACCACGGACACCAGGACCAAGGCAGGCTATTTCCAGTCCAATGACCCAGGATAAGGAGACCACCTGATTACAAAGACCACTTTTTGAAGGTTCCGTGAGCGATCGTCTTCAACAGGTTTCACTGTACGAACAAAAGTCGAAATAGCTGCGAAAATAAGGAAGTAGCAACAGCTGTGGAATAGTGCCCGATGCGCTGTGTACAGAGCCTTTGCATACATCATACACACAACCCTACTCCGAATTTAGTTGCTGGAACACTAGGAAAGAGCACAGACCTGCTTTCACTAGGTTGCTGCTCCCAGTTTCATGTCCATTGAGATCTTCAATCCACCTGTACTACGTCTAATCCCGACTGGTTGCAATTCCTGTGTGAGTGCACTACAGCATTGAATGTACTGCCTCCAACTGTCCAACTCTATAACACAATACGAATACCGTAAAGTCTTGTATAAAAGCCGCCCTCGAATAGAAGCCGCAATTTTGGGCCCATTAAATCACACATAAGCTTGGTTTTAGTGTTGACATACATAGAAATACCTGTCTCATAATAGAAGCCTGCAAAATTTCACCAAGAAAGTCATAGAAGCCGCGGCTTTTATACAAGACTTTACGGTAACTGTTTCTTTAGGCTTGGATCTTGAAAACTTTTGAAGCTCCTCTCCTACCTTTAAAATATCTTTCACTAGCACAGTGATACGAATCCGTCTGGTTTTCGTGTTCGCTTGTGCGTGTTTTGCCCAGGATGCACGTCCGCGACACTGAGAACCGTCACGATGCTCTGCTGCAGAACAGGGACAAGGCGCGCCAGGCCCTGGAAAGGAGCAAACAGGCAGCCAACCGGTACAGTCTGCCACGGCACAACAAGCTTTCCATGCATGTGTCGCCCTGTGATTGTTTCTGTGAAAAAAAAAGAATATTCGAAGCAGACGCAACGTCCTAGCGGAGCTGGTCTTTTCCCGTAGCAATAGAGGTTACACACACGCATACACACGCATACACACACCACATCACACACACACACACACACACACACACACACACACACACACACACACACACACACACACACACACACACACACACACACACACACACACACACACACACACACACACACACACACACACACACACACACACACACACACACACACACCATTGGACCATTGGACCATTGGACGCCCATCGCCGGAGGCGATGATAGCGATGCTACAGCAGAAGCCATAGCAACTTGTGCTGGGATTGCACCATTCAACAGCTTGCAAGGCTGAAGAATTGACCGCCACTATTCAGCCTGGTCTACACCACACAGCTACGAAGTGGCTTTTTTCTGGCCAGTGAATCCCTACACACACCACATCACACACACACACACACACACACCTTTGGACCTTTGGAAAGCCCATCGCCGAAGGCGATGATAGCTATTAGGCGAGGCAGTAGTTCTTGTGTCGGGATAAATCATTCGGACGGCGAAAGTCGCGGCCGCAGACACAGACGAACACTCTTGGTTGGGGCTGGCTTGGTGGCTTCCGACGGCTACGTTCGCGCCAGTCCCTCCGGTCCTGAGCAAGGTGGTACCATTGCGCCTCCGGGATACCGGTCGCACGCAGGTCTGAAGCTGCCACATCTCTCCAACGACGCTTGGGTCCATGGCGGGGCCGCGTGTTAGTGCCCTCCGCAAACAGGATCTGCTTTGGCAACCTGGTGTCGTCCATCCTTACACACACACACACACACACACACACACACACACACACACACACACACACACACACACACACACACACACACACACACACACACACACACACACACACACACACACACACACACACACACACACACACACACACACACACACACACACACACACACACACACACACACACACACACACACACACACACACACACACACACACACACACACACACACACACACACACACACACACACACACATGCACACACACACATACACACACACACACATACACACACACACACATACACACACACACACATGCACTACACACGTGTGCGTGCACACACACACACACACACACACACATACACACACACTACACACGCGTGCGTGCACACACACACACACAGCAGTTGTGAGCCATTGTTAAATTGGTGATTCGACATCTAGTTTTCATAGTACGTAAAGTGCCGGCAAGCCACTACAACCACGTGACTGCCTTTTAAAAACACGATAGGAAATTTCACAACCGTAAAAGGAACATCAGGTTTCATCATTGATTGCGTGCAGCACAGGGTAATCCGGCAATTACGGTGCCACCCTGATCAGTGCGTAGAGTGAAATTGACACAACTACTGGATACGAATGGCGTAATCCCAGCACAAGTTTGTTTGCTAACATGCGATGGGCATGTTGAAGTGGAAGTGGATTCCAACAAAACACACCTACTTATGGAAATCATGGAAACTCAGCCGTGCATAACTCCCCAACAAATGGCCTGCATGGTACGAATACGTGCTACAACCCAAGCATACTGAAGAATTTCTGTGAAGCTCCTTGAAGCTTTGAGGGAACCACGCATCACATGAAGCGACAAAGAAAGGCTTCGTAATGAGACCATTTGCAAGGTCCATCATTCCAATACCCTCTATTATCATGTATAGTCGCACAATCCTCTGCGCCCTCATAATTGTCTGGTTGACCAGATATCCACCTTGAGTATGTAACCGCGTTGCCTTCTACGTCTTTCCACTGGCCTTCATTCTCCAGGTCGGACGCACCAATCCATATTCCACCCCCGCAGTTTTGTTGACGGCGTAACTGGCTAACAATCTGCATTTCTTGATAATTTCTGGGCACGGCTAGAATGCCACCAAGTACCCTGCATCTGTACCTTGCTTCGAACCAAGTGTAACTACCTCTGAAGAGTCTGAGGCCCGGCGTGTAAGTGCGTTGGCGAACATTGGTGAGAAGTTGAGTCTTCAGGCTTTCTATGCGGCTGAGAATGGTTCTATCCTGTAGACCCAAGCGTGAGCTGAGCCTGGCCAAGCGTGAGTCCAGCTTAGCGAAGCGTGAATCCAGTTCCCTGCTTGTCAGAAGATGCTCTTGACAGATTTTGCCCACGTACCCTCTTGGACAATCACACTTGAATCCGTTGCGCAGGCTAGTGCACCTGCCACCGTGTGCACACGGGTTTTGTTGACCGCAGTGGTCTAGTGCCTGTGAGCACTCTGCTCCTTCAAAGTTTTCAGGACACTGGCACCTGAAATAGGGTGCAGTGGACTGTCGGACACACACACCTCCATTCTGACAGGTGCTGCTACCGTCGGCGTTGCTGCATGCGTCCGTTTCGCACTCCTTGCCGCTGTAACCAGCATGGCAACGACATGCGTAGGTCTGCGGATTTCCTCCAGAGGTCTGCAGCACACACCGACCCTCTCCACTACAATACTGGAAGGACGCACAGGACAGAGCTTGGCCAGCAAAGCAGGCAGCCAGCTTGACAGCATCCGCTACATCGCTGACTCCAAACGACGGCAAAAACGATGTCTGGATGGAATTTATGTCGTGGGGAGGAATGCTTCTCTGTGCAAAGTTCGCCTCGTACGTGGCAGCGCTTGTCCTGGAAATGCCTGCCTGGCGCAGATACGTGGCAACACATGATCCATCTTGTGTCTGTCCTGTGCAGGATGAACATATGGTCCCTAGCAGGAAAGCAATACAGCAAACATAACTGGTTGCAAACATGATCTCTACCCGAGGAGAGACTCCAAAATGTTATCTTCTTCCTGGATGGTGACTCTTCAGAATGGTTCCAGTTGTCTTGGTTCATTGCTTAAAAAGTGAGACAATTTGCTTACGTAAGCGGAATCCAAGGCTGATGTACATGTGACTGCACACAGCACTGGCTGATGTTGTCATTTTGCTTACAACAGGTGAAAAAGGCGCTGAACCAGTCGAATAATGAATAGTCGGAAGCGCTTGGCAGGTTGACGTTTGCTAACAGATGCCTCTGCTTCTGTGTGGATTCTTGGCACCAAAGCCTGGACACTGATCAAATTGCATACCCTGAACAACATGTTTGAATCAGCAGTATCTCGTGTCATTTGCCAACCAGTCACCCAGGAGTGCTGCTGACATCGGGATGGATTACCTACTATCCCCGTGACGCTTTCCTGAATGAACTTCCAGATAACTGCTGATGCTGACACTTGGTTGTCACGTTGGCGTGATTACTCGTTGACATGCGTCATTTTTGTACTACTCATAAGTCGGTAAGCATTCTGGATTCTTGATGCAGGATTCATGTCATCGGGGGGATTTTCCCATAGTCTTTTGTCAAGCATGATGATGACAAAATTGATGACATCAATGGAAGGAAGTGCAAGCACAGCGCCTTAATCTTGCTGCATAGTTCATTTTCAGAACAGGACACCAACATGTTGCCAACGTTGTCCTTCTGTTTTTCATTGTTGTTGTGTTTGTGTGTGCGTTCTAGTGGCATGTTGATGTTGTGGTCTGTGTTCTGTACTCGCGTTCTTCAGACAGACATACTTCACAGACTCCACTCTGCCTTTGCTCGAGAAAAAGACCCTGCTGATTTGACGAGCAAGCGCATATGAGAGAAAGCATACCGAGGGAAAGACTACAAATAATAGTAGTAGTAGTAGTATTGACATATCCGCGGAAAGCCGCTTATGTACAACGGCATGGGAGAGGAAAACAAAAAATGAAAATATATTGTTGGGGAAATCCACGCTATTATCGAATATTCAACAATGACGGGTGTGGGGTTATACCAAATTCCCATAATGTGGAAGTACGTTATTATTGTTGAAAGCACTAGGTGATCTGCACTCTACAATGTGACCTGTGCGATTATATCGTTGAATGATTGCCTGTTCCGAGCCACCAAACGCAGTGTCTCCAGGTCCTTCAGACTCCGGAGACGCATGGACGTTGCCTTGGCTAATTCGTTGTCTATCACCACTGGTAGGGTGATGCGCGGGCGTCCGAGCCAGCCCCGATTCTGTCGCTGGAAATACGCTGTCATGCTCACCTGCGCTGGAGTTGCTTCAGGGAGGCGTAAAATATGACCAAACAGTTTCCACCGTGCTCTTCTGCTTAGTACGGATATTGGCTCGGCATTGCAGCGGGTATATAGGTCTGTGTTGGAGATAATTTCCGGGTAAGATATCCCTAATAGACGGCGGAGCTGCTTTCTGTGGAACGCATCCATTGCTGTAGCATCCCGGGATGAAAGCACCCACACGCCACAGTTGTAGGTCAAAATAGATAGCACAAATGCATCAAATAATGGAGTTATATTATTACATGTACTTTTATAGCACGTATAGTGCCGGCAAGCCACTGCTACCACCTTGATGACTTTAACATAACAGAATAATTCACAACAAAAGGAACATCAAAATTCATTATTGCACGCACAGGTTAACCCGGCAATTACGGTGCCTCCCTGATCAGTGCGTAGAGTGAAATTGAAACAACTACTGGATACGAATGGCGTAATCCCAGCACAAGTTTGTTTGCTAACATGCGATGGGCATGTGGAAGTGGAAGTGGATACGAACAAAACACACCTACTTATGGAAATCATGGAAACTCAGCCGTGCATAACTCTCCAACAAATGGCCTGCATGGTGCAAATACGTGCTACGAGCCAAGCATACTGAAGACTTTCTGTGAAGCTCCTTGAAGCTTTGAGGGAACCTCGCATCACATGAAGCGACAAAGAAAGCCTCCGGAATTAGACCGTGTGCAAGGTATATCATCCCACTGTCCATTCGCATTAATTATAGTCACACAATCTTCTGCACCGGAATCATTCCTTGGTTCACCAGGATACCACCTTGTGTATCTAATAGCCCTGCCTTCAACATCTTTCCACCGGCCTTCAGTCTCCACGTCGGTCACACCAATCCATATCCTACCCCAGCACCTTTTTCTACGGCGTAGCTGGATAACAATCTGCATTTCATGATTGCTTCTGGGCACGGCTAGAATGCCACCGAGTACCCTGCATCTGTACCTTGCTTCATACCAAGTGTAACCACCTCTGAAGAGTCTGAGGCCCGGCGCGAAAGTGCGTTGGCGAACATTGGCAAGAAGTTGAGTCTTCAGGCTTTCTATGTGGCTGAGAAAGGTTCTATCCTGCAGGGCCAAGCGCGAGTCCAGCTTTGCCAAGCGTAAATCCAGTTCCTTGCTTGTGAGTAAATGCTCTTGACAGGTTTTTCCCACGTACCCTCTTGGACAATCGCACTTAAATCCATTGCGCAGGCTAGTGCACCTGCCACCATGTGCACACGGGTTTTGTGGACCACAGCGGTCAACTGCCTGCAAGCACTGTGCTCCTTCAAAGTTCTCGGAACACTGGCACCTGAAATAGGGTGCAGTGGACTGTCGGACACACACACCTCCATTCTGACAGGTGCTGCTACCGTCGACGTTGCTGCATGCGTCCGTTTCGCACTCCCTTCCGCTGTAACCAGCATGGCAACGACATTCGTAGGTCTGTGGATTGCCACCAGAGGTCAGCAGCACACACTGGCCTTCTCCACTACAATACTGGAAGGACGCACAGGACGGAGCTTGCCCAGCAAAGCAGGCAGCCAGCTTGACAACATCCGCTACATCGCTGACTCCGAACAACGGCAAAAACGACGTCTGGGTGGAATTTATGTCGTGGGGAGGAATGCTTCGCTGTGCAAAGTTTGACTCGTATGTGGCAGCGCTCGTCCTGGAAATACCTGCCTGACGGAGATACGTGGCAACACATGATCCATTTTGTATCTGTCCTGTGCAGGATGACCATATGGTCCCTAGCAGGAAAGCAATACAGCAAACATAACTGGCTAGAAACATGATCTCTACCCGAGGAGAGACTCCAAAATGTTATCTTCTTCCTGGATGGCGACTCTTCAGAATGGTTCCAGTTGTTTTGGTTCATTGCTTATAAAGTGAGACAATTTGCTTACGTAAGCGGAATTCAAGGCTGATGTACATGTGACTGCACACAGCACTGGCTGATGTTGTCATTTTGCTTACACAGGTGAAAAAAGCGCTGATCCAGTCAGATAAGGAAAATTCGGAAGAGCTTGGCAGGTCGAAGTTTGCTAACAGATGCCTCTGCTTCTGTGCGGATTCTTGGCACCAAAAAGCCTGGACACTGATCTGATTGCTTACCCTGAACAACATGTTTGAATCAGCAGTATCTCGTGTCATTTGCCAACCAATCACCCAGGAACGTTGCTGACATCAGGTTGGATTACCTACTTGTCCACGTGATGCTTCGCTGAATGAACTTCCAGAGAACTGCTGATGCTGACACTTGCTTGTCACGTTGGTGCGATTACTCGTTGACATGCGTCATTTTGTAATCATAAGTCAGTAAGCATTCTGGATCCTAGATGTAGGATTCATGTCATCGGGGGGATTTTCCCATAGTCTCTTGTTAGGCATGATGATGACAAAATTGATGACATCAATGGAAGGAAGTGCAAGCACAGCGCATCAATCTTGCTGTGTAATCCATTTTCAGAACAGCATACGAACATGGACACCAACATGTTATCAACGTTATCCTTCTGTTTTTCATTGTTGTGTGTTTGTGTGTGCGTTCTAGTGGCATGTTGATGTTTGTGATCTGTGGTCTGTACTCGCGTTCTTCAAACAGATATACCTCACAGACTACACTCGGCCTTTGCTCAAGGAAAAGACCCTGCTGATTTGACAAACAAGCACATTATGAGAGAAAGCATAGCGAGAGAAAAGACTACAAATAACGGAGTCATAATATTACAAGTACTTTCATAGTACGTATAGTGCCGGCGAGCCACCACTACCACTTGACTGACTTTAAAAAACACGATAGGAAAATTCACAACCGTAAAAGAAACATCAAGATTCGTCATTGCACGCACAAGTTAATCTGGCAGTTACGGTGCCACCCTGACCAGTGTGAGGAGTGAAATTGAAACAGCTCCCGGATACGAATGGTGTAATCCCATCACAATGTTTTTCCGTTGTGATTGCTTCAGTGATGAGCATATGGAAGTGGAAGTGGATACGAACAAAACATATCTACACTAGGAAAACATGGCAACTCAGCCGTTCATAACTCTCCGACAAATGACCTGCATGGAGCAAATCCATGTTACGAGCAAGGAATACTGCAGGATCTCTGTGAAACTCCTTGAAGCTTTGAGGGAACCTCGCTTCATTTGATGCGACAAAGAAAGGCTTTAACACCAAGCCATCGGCACGTTGTATCATACAAAACTTCGCGTGCCTCACTGCGTGTAATCCAACAATTCTCACGACTGCCACCATTTGGTTGTTGATAAGCCCACCTTCTATATGCAACGACCCTGCCTTCTGTATCTTTCCACTGGCCTTCAGTCTCCAGGTCGGACGCACCAATCCATATGCTCCCAGTGTAACGTTGTCGACGGCGTAACTGGCCAACAATCTGCATTTCATGATTGCTTCTGGGTACGGCTAGAATGCCACCGAGTACCATGCATCTGTACCTTGCTTCAAACCAAGTGTAATTACCTCTGATAAGTTTGAGGCCCGGCGCGTAAGTGCGTTGGCGAACATTGGCGAGAAGGTGAGTTTTCAGGCTTTCTATGTGGCTGAGAATGGTTCTATCCAGCTTGGCCAAGCGTGAGTCCAGTTCCCTGCTTGTCAGTAGATGCTCTTGACAGGTTTTGCCCACGTATCCTCTTGGACAATCACACTTAAATCCGTTTCGCAGGCTAGTGCACCTGCCACCATGTGCACACGGGTTTTGTGGACTACAGTGGTCAACTGCCTGCGAACACTCTGCTCCTGCAAAGTTCCTTCGGCAATTGCACCTGAAATAGGGTACAGTGGACTGTCGGACACACATACCTCCGTTCTGACAGGTGTTGCTACCGTCGGCATTGCTACATGCGTCCGTTTCACACTCCTTGCCGCCGTAACCAGCATGGCAACGACATGCGTAGGTCTGTGGATTTCCTCCAGAGGTCTGCAGCACACACCGGCCTTCCCCACTACAATACTGGAAGGATACACAGGACGAAGCTTGCCCAGCAAAGCAGGCAGCCAGCTTGACAACATCCGCTACATCGCTGACTCCGAACCACGGCAAAAACGACGTCTGGGTGGAATTTATGTCGTGGGGAGGAATGCTTCTCTGTGCAAAGTTTGACTCGTATGTGGCAGCGCTCGTCCTGGAAATACCTGCCTGACGGAGATACGTGGCAACACATGATCCATTTTGTATCTGTCCTGTGCAGGATGACCATATGGTCCCTAGCAGGAAAGCAATACAGCAAACATAACTGGTTGGAAACATGATCTCTACCCGAGGAGAGACTCCAAAATGTTATCTTCTTCCTGGATGGTGACTCTTCAGAATGGTTCCAGTTGTCTTGGTTCATTGCTTATAAAGTGAGACAAGTTGCCTCCGTAAGCGGAATCCAAGGCTGATGTACATGTGACTGCACACAGCACTGGCTGATGTTGTCATTTTGCTTACAACAGGTGAAAAAGCGCTGAACCAGTCGAATAATGAATAGTCGGAAGCGCTTGGCAGGTCGACGTTTGATAACAGATGCCTCTGCTTCTGTGTGGATTCTTGGCACCAAAGCCAGAACATTGATCAGACTGCATACCCTGAACAATATGTTTGAATCAGCAGTATCTCGTGTCATTTGCCAACCACTCACCCAGGAATGCTGCTGACATCAGGATGGATTACCTACTTATCCCCGTGTTGCTTCCCTGAATGAACTTCCAGAGAACTGCTGATGCTGACACTTGGTTGTCACGTTGGCGTGATTACTCGTTGACATGCGTCATTTTCTAATCATAAGTCAGTGAGCGTTCTGGAATCTTGATATAGGATTCATGTCACCAGGGGGGGGGGGGGGGGGATTTTCCCATAGTCTCTTGTCAGGCATGATGATGACAAAATTGATAACATCATTGGAAGGAAGTGCAAGCACAGCGCCTCAATCTTGCTCCGTAATTCATTGTCAGAACAGGATATGTCCAACATGGACATCAGGATATGTCCAACATGGACATCAATACAACATGTTATCAGTTTTGCAGGGGAGCAACCTGTTATCAGTTTTATCCGTTTTGTGCACGCTTTCGTGAGAAATCACACCTTGATATTTTAGTGCTGTCATTGTGTCCTCCTTACCCTACCTTGCTTGCTATTATTTCATTTATTCTGATTTGTTTGTTTAGTACAATGGTGATTCCTGAAGAATGTTGGACACACGTACGAAAAAACCTGTTCAAATAATTCTTTCCGTCGTTCTTTCTTCCTACATGCATTTTGTTCATGTATTTCAATACTGTTCCATTGTTGTTGTGGTATGAGCGCGCTCACTACATGTCTATTTCTTTCGATATTAGATTTCTGTTCCATCGGAACCCCCCAAGGTGACTCTCTCTCTCCTGTAGTATTTGTGATCTACCTGGAATCAGCCTTGAGGGAGATCAGAGCATCGATCCCGCACAGGCCAATGCGCGACATGGCTCTACCACCAGAAGTGATTTATGCCGATGACACTGATTTCATCAGCCAATCCAGACCCTGGCTGGAGAGCATCGAACCGGATATCATCGCTATCCTTGGAGACTGGCACCTAAAGGTCAACGAAGATAAAACAGAAAAAACAACATTGCGCCGGGAAGGAGACCGCCTGGGTGAAGTATGGCGGAAAACAAAAAAAAACTCGGATCACTCCTCGGCGACGAGGAAGATGTTGCACGAAGGAAACAATTAGCAACGGCAGCTTTCAGAGCGCTATTCACGGTATGGTGTCGTCGATCGATCATCAGCGAAAGTCTACGGCTAAGGCTTTACAACGCGTTATCATCCCCGTGCTAACGTACAATGGAGGCACCTGGGGACTGACGGCTTCAGCATGGGAGCGTCTGGACACATTCCATCGCAGACCACTTCGGAGTCTCCTGGGTATCCGCTGGCCGCAGTTGATTCCAAACAGAGCCCTGTACGGCAGATGCCACGCAGAGCCCATCAGTGCTCATGCGGCGATCCAGATGGGGCCTGTTTGGGCATATCCTCAGACTCCCTCAAGACACACCTGCCGCCCTCGCTATGCGGAGTTACTTCACCTGTGGGGACGAGGTATGGCGAGGGCAGCCACGGACAACCATCGTGTCCACACTATCCGCGGACCTAGAATCAGCAGGGCTGAGGAGTCTGAGGAACTTGGCAGACCTGGAGCACTTGCGGGCCATCGCCGTGGACAGGCCAGCGTGGCGCGAGCTGTGCCAGGATGTACGCAGTAACTAATGGATGGGACAAAGGCATTGTAAAGACCCCGTGAATTTAGCACTTACCATCGACCATGAGTTACAAACCTATCGTCGTTGTCTGTTATTCTTGTTCTATTTTTTGATCTTTCGAATAGAACCCGTGCATTGAGCACCTATCATCGAACATGAGTTATGTGCCTGTCGCCTGCTGTCTTACATTTATTTTTTACTCTTGTTTATTTTTGTTTTCCTCCCTGCCCACTCTGCCTGTCTTCTGGCACATGCGAATATGTGGACTTACTGTTGACGTAAACGCGGACGTGCGTATAATAATAATAATAATTAGGTTTCTTGGCTCCGCACCGACGTTTTAACATGTTTTTCTTTTTCCACTTAGATTGTTTTCGTATCGTCTCCATCACTTGACATCGTCTCCATCACTTGACATTGTCTCCATCACTTGACGTTGTTCAATAGAGTAACTCAATGTCAATTCCGCTCGTCCTCTTTTTGTTGCGCTACTAAAATTGTTGCCTCCTCGCCGATTACTTTATCCCTCTGTTTTCATTGTTGTGTGTTTGTGTGTGCGTTCTAGTGGCATGTTGATGTTTGTGGTCTGTGTTCTGTACTCGCGTTCTTCAGACAGACATAATTCACCAACAGTTTACTGTGCTCAGCCTTTGCTCAAGAAAAAGACCCTGCTGATTTGACAAGCAGGCGCATATGAGCGAAAGCATACCGAGGGAAAAGACTACCAATAATGAAGTCGAAATATTACAAGTACTGTCAGGGACATTGAAATCCAAGTGGATGACCGGGGCCGGTGGCCTTACTGCTTTGAGCGCGTACATGCACTGTACTTCACGTATACACTGCAGAAATGGACAAGCAGTGCTCACGGCTGCAAGGCCAGCGCCCCGTGGCCGCTTGACTTCTGAATGGATTTCAATGTCCGAAACACTACTATCGTAAAAGTCCGTAAATAAGTATGTACTTACTTTCAAATTTAGTGCTCACATCCGTACTAACTTTCGGGGGGGGTGCTGACTTTCGGGGGGGGGGGGTACTAACTTTCGGGCGGGTACTAACTTTCGGGCGGATACTAACTTTCGGGCGGGTACTGACTTTCGGGCACAAACTAACTTTCGGACCTGACTTGTGTGTAGTGGAGAAGCCACATTTCATACAGGTGTATATGCTACGCACTGCATGTGTGAACCGTACCGGTACGTATTTCGGCCTGTATGTTTATCGTGCCTTCAACAGAAAGAGCCTCAAAAGAATGGAGGGTATTTTTTGTGGGCAGGCACTTATTTACGGACTTTGACGGTATAGTGAAACCTATCAGGGCGACCACTTGGATTAGGCGACCACCTGTACCCAGAGACCACTCCAACTAGGACCAATGGATGCTATTTCCAGTCAAATGACCCTGGGTGGGGAGACCACCTGTACCGAGAGACCACATTTGCAAGGTCCCCTCAGCGGTCGCCTTAAATAGGTTTCATGATTGTACATGCCGTTATGCAAGACATAACAGCTTGCATTATACACTCCTGTGTGTGTATCTGCACGTGTGCGTCGCCCTCTGCAGTCCCCGGCAGGATCTTCACACGAGTGAGCTGAACGCCCTGGCGAGCAGTATTGCTCTGGAGAAGAACACACTCGAGGATGCTCGGCGTGACCTTACCGATATCAAGTGAGTGCACCATTGGCAATAGGCTATGAAGGGGAATCACTCAATGTCACTCACGTAAAGGTGTCCTGAGCTATTTCGGTCAGGATGGATGCAGTTAATTAAGATGTTTTTCAAAATTATTTAATGACTGCCAGTACATTACTGTCGGGTTAGGGTTAGGGTAAGGGGGTTAGAGGTTAGGGGTTATGGGGGTTAGGGGGTTAGGGGTTAGGGGCCGATGAACCCCAAGCACAGCATACAGTTAGACCTCGTTTATCCGGTCATCTTTTATCCGTATCCCTTTGCATCCGGAAGAAAATAGCTGGTGACAGATGTACAGCATACGTGGTGCATCCAACATAACCGGTGTTCGGTTATCCGGTTTCCTCGCCTAACCGGATGTTTTTTGTTGTGGAAAACGAATGTGTGCGGTTAAGCAAGGTCTGACTGTACCAGTGTGCACACGGTGACTCAGCTGTGCATACGCTGTTGTACAGGAAAACAAGACTGGCCTAGGCTAGGAGGCTGACACCCCAGTTTTTTGTGTGTAAATTTACACCGGCAGTGACACACAGTTAGAAAATCGCCATTGGACAATGAATCCCCTTGGTCACATTGCTTGCCAGTTGGCGAGTTTGTAAGGATTATCATGGCAATATGGCACGGGATGAGAGCATCGATATGCTGCGGAAACTTGGCAAGCAGGCGCCGCACTTTTTGGTATGTTTGAGTGGCACATGTACATGCAGCTGGACGTGTGAGGTGAAGCGAACACCCTCTACCAGATAAACCAAACAAAGAGCTGAGACGCAAAACTTGATAAGCGCCAAATTTGAGAAAAGTCCGATTTTCGGCTCAGTGCACTCAAAAGCTCTAGGAGCACGGCAAAATTTACATCCAGAATCTGATTGGAACCGTTTCTAAACTGGAGATTCAGATGCAAACCACACATAAAAATGAATCCTTTTTTTGGAAATTATCTGAAAAGTGATGAAATGGATTTGGCGGGTTTTGCATTCCAGCTCTTGATAATTATGTTCCTGTATGAACCTTTGCAGCCAGAAACTGGTTAAAGCCATGGATGACCATGCCGGACTGGAACTCGAGGTAAGCAAGGCTGGCTTGAGTGATGCAATCACACAGAGAAAGTCCACGCTGGCAACCAAGGCAGAGGAGAGACGAGCGAGAGAAACGGGAATACAGGAGACTGCCACTAGGGCCTTGGCCACGAGGTAAGTTGGTGCGTGAGCTCCAATCAGTGACGGAAATGTACGATAATAGGCGAGCTGAGTTGTTTCCGGTGGAGTTATGCATGGTACATCGGAGGATGTACCCAGTGTGCTGACAGTGCTCAACACGGCGGAGGTAGAGCGTAATACAGAACAACAAGGACAATCAAGGCTTGTTTGCTGCTACTTCAAGTTTCATGCTCTCGCAATCATCAGGCAACATGAGGATGGGGTGCCAACCCGCATGCCGGTATATATGCCCCATCCTCATGTTGCCTGATGATTGCGAGAACATGGAACTTGAAGTAGCAGCAAACAAGCCTTGATTGTCCTTGTTGTTCTGTATGGTACATCTTACAATACATAGTATCGTGAAATGGTTGATGTACATGCACATGACATCATTCTGTACATGACATCATTCTGTTGGTTGTATTGGAACTGTGATGATGCTGTATTGCTTTCTAGAACACAAACATGCAATCAAAAATTCGTTCTTTCTTCAGTTTGAATGCTATATTGTTGTCATTGCTGTTGCTGCTGCTGGTGCTGCTGCTGTTGCTGTTGCTGTTGCTATTCCTGCTGCTGCTGTTCCTGCTGCTGTTGCTGCTGCTTCTGCTGTTACTGCTACTGGTGCTGCTGCTTATCTTGGCTGCATCTTCTTCCCGTGGAAATCCACTACGTTATACTCTGCAGGTCCTTGGAGACTGTGGGTAGTGGGGTCGAACACCTGGCGGTCTCTGCTCCAGGAACAAAGCCAGCTGATCTCATTGCTCAAGCCACCAAGGAGAAGTGAGTGCATGGCGGGAAGCTCCAGGAATCAATACAGCTTTCAAAGTTCAAGCCCTAATCTCTTGAATTTCTCCCTCCGCCCGGTTCAGAGCAGCAGTCATGTCTTCGTCACAGGTTCACTTACATCCTCCACACGTATGGTGGTGTAGGTTCTGGACCATTGCATACGTGGACACGTTCTCATTTTGTGACAAACCTTGATCAAAACAACTGGACTCCTACAGATTTTAGGTTAGGCTAGCAAATTAGCCAAACAGAGAGAAAATATTCTGTAGAGAACACACTCAGTAGCTGGCGGGGGATGGGATGGGATGGGATGGGGGATGGGATGGGGGATGGGATGGGGGATGGGATGGGGGATGGGATGGGGGATGGGATGGGGGATGGGATGGGGGATGGGATGGGATGGGATGGGGGATTACACTGAATTAAGACTGTAGCCAACAGCCGAACATTTGCACCAGAACTTTTTGGTGCGCTGTCGACATACTTTTTCACCCATGCTCTATTTCTACAGACGGCAAGCAGGCCTGGCCAGAGAGGCTGAGGAAATGCAGGCCGCCGAGGACAAGAAGGTGCGCGACGTTCTGGACTTTCAGAGCAACATGGACGAGCAAAAGGTATATGCCACGTGTCTAATTTCTCCCGCTTGCCTGGGAAGCGCGGTTTTATTCAACATGACATGCAAGAAAGGAAGAACACTAAATATACAAGCGATGAACCCGGCAATGAAATTAAAATGAATCCCCTGTTTGCCGGGCTTAGCTAGTATTTGCTACCCTGTACTTAATGAGCGTTGTAAAGTACAAACCGTTTCAGACGCACACACACCTACCTGTTCTGTATTCTGGTGTTTTGTGGATCTCTGAGTAGTCTGCTTGGGCACTATTCTATTAGCCACCCCCCCCCCCCACACACACATGCACACCTCTGTGAATCAAAACCTGACAATAAAATACTTGAAAGACTTCAGCGTGGGACGTTTAGACAGACCTGAACATTAGCTAAATGGCCTCCGCAACCTATTCCTACTCACAGTCTGAGACATAAATAAACCAGATACGGTGAGAAGATGCCGATCCAACACGGGCATGCGCATCCCCCGTAGTCGTAGTTTGGACCAGTTGAGCATACTCTGAGCATCTTAACAGGTCAGACACGGCTGGAGGTCGGCACTAGCATAGCATAGTAAGCTACAGGCCAAGCAATGGCTTCATGACCGTCTTAGCCAGCGATTGCCCCGAATAGTTCCTATGTCGATATTGTCATCAGTGACACACCTGAATGGTATCCGACTATCCGTTCTTGGTTGGTTGGTGTAGTTTCTTTTGCTTCTCCAGAATGAACAGGCATTGCTGCCCATTATTGCGTGGATAGTGAACTTTTCAAGCCATTCTCCTGGGTGTGTATCCGTTCTTGGTTGGCCGGATTCTACTTCTCTGAAATGAACAGACATTGCTGCCCGTTCTTGCATGGATAGCAAGCTGTCCACGCCGTTCCTGTGGGTGTCGTTTCAGAAAATTCTGGCCGAGCAGACGCGTCTCCGAGCTCAGCGCAGAAAGAGAGAAGAGCAGCATGAGGATCTGGAGCGTACGGAGCTGGCAAAGCAAGGGATCAACGTGCTGTCTGAAACCTGCCGCGCAAAGAACAAACTCGAGCGAGAGGCGAACGAGAAGTAAGACATGTTGCTAATCCCGTCCCCGTTCCTGTACATGCTTTTCCTTTTCCTTTTTCGCTTCTTCCGTGGTTGGTCTCACCCTCTCCTCAATTCAATTGGCCCTCTTGACATGCTACGAGATGCTAAAAATACATAAACAGTTAAATATGATCTTGGTGCAGCGCTGTCACCTATTGTGGTACTTTACAGTCCAACAAGCGTTAATGCTAGGGGACCAGGAAAATTGTCGTTGCTGCCGTCGAGTCTGCCATGAGCGAGCACTCGGGGTACAACAGAAATCTTTCACTTACAGCATCTATGAAGTAAACGCCTTGCATGTTCGTCAAATGCATGCATTTCTGTATAATCAAATTGACAAAGAAGTCAGAGCGATGTTTGGCCTCAATGCTACTTCAGTTCGCCACTATGCGAGTCTTTGTAAGGAAGCACTACACATTTTGGTGTTGAGAACTGTGTGTACAGAGCCCCGGCTATATACGAGTACACACGGCTCACTGGGCTGGGGTCTTCACCTTTCTGGTGGTGCTAAGCATATACGAGGAGAACATGGATGCAGTGAATGGGATTTTTGGTCTTTGACCTCTTGCTGGTGAGCTGATCTACTCACCTCCCACCGATTTAGGAGCTGCATCTGCGCCTTGATCCTTGAAGGGTGGTGGCGTTCCTACGGATGCGGAAAACTCGGTTTCCAGCCGAGTCTCACGCGAACGGGTGAAATTAATTAAGAATATGACGGTGATAATGATGATGCCTGCCTCTTTTTGTCAGATAGTTCAGGTCAAGAACTCCGGTCTGTATGACGTTTGCTCTGTCGTTCGTTGCTGTAGGAAATTTGCGTTGGAGCAGGAGCACAAAAAGGTACAACTCTTATCATAAGTTATCGCTGCACAATTGCTAGCCATTGACCCAGATCCAGTGGTGTTTAAACAGCTGTGCGTTCACATATACTACAACTTAGACTGAGACAAGGATGTTACCGGTATGTATAATTCTATTTCATAAGCCAACAGGGAGGAAGTCACTTCAAGGACTCGGAAGACAGAACAACAACAAAAGGGCAAGGCAGCACAGGTTGGCCTGCGTGCATGCAGAGTCCTAGTGATGTCTTAGTGACGTCAACACATAAGACGTGTACATGGATATCACAGTTCAGTATGAGCATTAACCAGATTTTCGACCGAGTCAGTCATGAATCAGAAGCGGAGTGCAATGTGCTTCTACCCAGGTAGCTTTGTAGTTCGATGGTCTTGACTAGCAGTAGTACAACCCAACGCAAGACGATTATTTCTTAGTCTGGTGTTGATTTCTTCCCCGCTGGCAACAGCCTTTTTCCATTAGTAAACATCCACATACCGTATTTCCCCGAATATAAGTCGCACCTTTTTACACTAAAATTCTAGGGTAAAAAAGGGGGTGCGACTTACAATCGAGCATGGCTTACTACTGAAGTCAATACATCAAATCAATATGGCTACAACCTGAAAATGGGGGTGCGACTTATAATCGGGGAAATACGGTACGTGGCCAAGGCCATCGTAACCAGTCCTAGGGGTATATTTAACTGTGAGAGTCTGCTCTCCTTCAATTCTGGTTGTGAGTTGGCATTGGAAGTCAGACTGCTTCTGGTCTTGGACAGCTGGTAACGGGCTGACCAAGGCCACCAGTCATGGTCTTTATCCACTACAAATTGCTTGATTTGAAACTGTCTGTAGCTCTTCCCTGGGCAATAGCTAACTTGTAGGATGGTGTGCTTGCAGATGGAGCTGTCCAGAACATTGGAGCAGCAGAGAGCAGTGTTGCAGCAGCGAAGCGCAACGGCAAGCAAACCCCAGTGGCACGACAGGGCAGACATCAAGGTGAGAACGCACGGCAATGAGCGAAAACCAGTTTTTTTTCTAATTTTTTTCTCTGCAGTGTCCAATTGTCGTAATGAATTCACAGAGCCAGTGCACCTTAACCTGCTAGTACTAGAGTGCTTATTGCCTGTGCATTCTGTATTGAGTACACTCACAAATGTACTTACCGAAGCCGCATGGGTGTTGTGTTGTTTCATGCAGGCTT